CCCCTTGAACCAGGTATGGACCCCCTCACTGTTCGAGGAGTGATCTATGCAATTGTTCATTTGCCTTCAAGACGTTTTTATGTTGGACAGACGATGCATTCTGCACATCAACGGTTGCAAGAGCATTGGCATACACGGCGCTCTTCTGCTGCTTTTCGCCACCGCCATCTCTACCGTGCAATGTGTGGGCAACCAACATTCAACTTTGCTGCTTGGCCCTTGGAATGCATTGATCCTACCCTTTATCAGACGTCTGAAAGTCTTGTTGATCATGCCCTCTTTCGGCGGGCTGCTGCACCCCGCGAGGGTTTTTGGGTTCGAAAACTTCGAACGCTTCACCCAGTCGGTTTCAATGCTGTCCTTCCAATGGCTAGACTGTTGTCTCCACGACGACACTTCCGTCCTCATCGTTGGACACAAATCGGCCCTCGTCCCTTTGCTCCTCAACCCCCTCTACCTCTTCATGCCTCAACTCCTCCCGTTTCCCACCCTACCACATCTATTGCTGCTCCATCCGTTCCTGCACCGGCTGATCCTTCTCACATAACACCCCTTTTACCAACACCCGTTGGCTCTTATGCTGCACCCCTTTTATCTACACCCGCTCATTGTTTACCTCTCTTGCCAACACCCCCGCACTGTTTACCTCTCTTGCCAACACCTTCGGTTAGGTCCTTTGATGTTGATCTTCGTTCGGGTCCCCAACTTATGATTCGTACCTCACTGCATCGCCTTCTCACTGAAGCTGCTTCGGGTAATTGGTGTCGTGTCAAGGCTGATATTGAGCAAGCAGCACCAGCATGGCGGGTACGACTTTTGCAATGGCTTTACAATAATGTCTCCAATGCAGACATGATAGCAGACATTCGAGAACTCGAATGCCTCATCCGAAAATCGCAGCATACCCGCCAACGTTACACAGCACAACCTCGTGACCCATTTACTGACCACATCAAGGTCGTACATGCGCATGAGGTAGCTCGTGCTACGAACTTGCGCCAGGTGTTACAATTGCCGGATGTAGTTGCATTGCACCCCGACCCTCAAGCAGCCACACATGTTCGTGTATGTGACAAACTGATGCCACCCACGCGTGTCCAATTTTGTAACTTCACCGATGTGGCCTTGAGTGTTACTCCTGGCATGACCTTACCTGACTCCTTTGATTGCGAATGCCGCAGAGCCTTTCCACATTGTTCTGATCTTGTGGATGGCCATATTGTGTCTGTTGACTACAATATCATCTCCGATGATAGCCTTC